AATTGAAGCTAGTTTTTTGCATCCAGAAATGGTCAACGCGTGAAGAGAAGTGCAGGATCCCAATCCACTTGGTAGACTCATTAATTCATCACAATCATAAAGCAGAAGTCTTGTAAGAGATGTGAGCCCATTTATACTTGGAATGGAAGACAGTTTTTTGCATGTAAAAATGGCCAACTCCTGAAGAGAAGTGCAGGATCCCAATCCACTTGGTAGACTCATTAATTCATCACAACTATAAATCTCAAGTTTTGTAAGAGATGTGAGCCCATTTATACTTGGAATTGAAGACAGTTTTTTGCATCTAGAAATGGTCAACACCTGAAGAGAAGTGCAGGATTCCAATCCACTTGGTAGACTCATTAATTCATCATAATCATAATCAAAAAGGCTAAGGCTTGTAAGAGATGTGAGCCCATTTATACTTGGAATGGAAGACAGTTTTTTGCATCCATAAATGGTCAACTTCTGAAGGGAAGTGCAGGATCCCAATCCACTTGGTAGACTCATTAATTCATAACAATTATAAAGCTCAAGGCTTGTAAGAGATGTGAGCCCATTTATACTTGGAATGGAAGACAGTTTTTTGCATCCAGAAATGGTCAACTCTTGAAGAGAAGTGCAGGATCCCAATCCACTTCGTAGACTCATTAATTCATCACAATGATAAAGCTGAAGGGTTGTAAGAGATGTGAGCCCATTTATACTTGGAATGAAAGACAGTTTTCTGCATCCATCAATGATCAACTCTTGAAGAGAAGTGCAGGATACCAATCCACTTGGTAGACTCATTAACTCATCACAATTAGAAAGCTGAAGCCTTGCAAGAGATGTGAGCCCATTTATACTTGGAATGGAAGACAGTTTTTTGCATCCAGAAATGGTCAACGCCCAAAGAGAAGTGCAGGATCCCAATCCACTTGGTAGACTCATTAATTCATCACAATCAAAAAGCCAAAGTCTTATAAGAGATGTGAGCCCATTTATACTTGGAATGGAAGACAGTTTTTTGCATCTAGAAATGGTCAACTTCTGAAGAGAAGTGCAGGATTCCAATCCACTTGGTAGACTCATTAACT